GTCCATGGGGTTTTCTTGGCAAGGATACTGGAGTGGGTTGCCATTTCCTTCTCCAGTGGACCACATTTTGTCAGAACTCTCTGTCATTACCTGTCCGTCTTGGGTGGCCCTGCACGGCATAGCTCATGGCTTCACTGAGTTACACAAGTCCCTTTGCCACGACAAGGCGATTTGGCAGTGGAATTGGTAGGGGAATAAGGATGAGTCCTTAACAGAGGTATAAAAAAGTGGTGTACCTTTGAGTGCATGGTTACAGCCACGCTGCTGATTTTTTTTTTTTAACCCTCCCTGTGGACACCTTTGGTCCTTAAGACATTTACCCTCCTTTACTACAAGTGGAGGTCTAAAATGATCACTGAAGAACAAGTCAAAGAGTTGTAACAGTGAGTAGCTGCACTTCAGCTAATAACAGAGGATAAAGATTTATCAGTTAAAAAAAAGGAGGTGCCACAACACGATCTGACAGAGGGAACAACTCTCCTTAAGGAAGAGAATCAAATAAAGAAGCAAGCCCAGTGGATGAAAGCAAGAAAGGCAGAGGTTGTTCTGTGCCACTGGAACTCAGAAACAATTTTCAGGCCTTCAAAGAGAAATCAAGCTCTGGGACTTCAGGAGAAGGAAAAGAAACATTGCAGAGAACAGGGAAGGATGGTGGATCCCTGAAGGGCAGAGGACTTCCCTATCCGTAGGCATCCACGGGGGCAAGTGACAATAAGTGCATCACAATGCAAACTCAGTTCTTTATGTGATTTTGTGTGATGTTGTAATACAAGTACAAATGGGTAGAGCTTGCACTATGATTTCATGATCTGTGCTTCGTTATTTTGGAACTGATGCTCTTGCTGCACCTTGCAAGAAGAAAAAGAAGAAAGTGTGGTAATTTGTGACTTACCACTATCAGGAACTTAAAATTATGTGTTCCTATTGGACTCATTGGCACGTGAAGTGTGCTATTTGCATGCATGAGAGATGTGACAGAACAACTTCCAAGGTGTATCAGCTCTACTGAAATTATCTCTTCTTGCTAATCCACGTGGTTATAAATGATGCTGCAAAGAGCAACCGTAGACTTTGAAGATTTAGGGGAAAAGTTCAAGAATGTAAGATGTTTTTCACATCCATCCTTCCAGTCCACGAAAGGCTTGGAAAGAGAAAGAATAATAGTAACCTGAATGACTGGCTAGGCAAATGACATTATGAGGAGATACTTGGTTTTTACAATCATGGTGTGAGTTATCTGCATGATGGATTGCTAGCACAAGATTATTTCTTGTAAGACTTTTTAAAACTATGCTTGGCAAAAGCATGATAAACTTGATCAGATACAGACCTGTTCCCAGTAGAGCGATGTGAGGATGTGGTGGTGGAGGAGCTATGAAACCACTTAGTGAAACACTGGAAAGAATATTGGCTCATAAAATTTATGGGAAATGAAACATGCTTCTAATAAGGGTGACCTCATTGAACATGTCCACACGGTTTTCTTGGCAATAAAACAAAATAGTTTACAATTAATATCTTCCTAGGTTTTATTTTTTTAACTTTCCAATCTAGGCTATAGTCCTGGTGTTGCATTGGCTAGCCTTAAGCTGATATACTAACCACAAAAGACAATAAATGCTTTTCAGCAACAGTTGCACATATTTATTGATTCAAAGTTGTTTATGGAGAGCATTGACTGGCTAATGGTGTTCCATGTTTGTTCTCTGCATTCTGAGGTCTTCAGGATGAAAGATGATTGCAACTTTGCCCTGTGGAAGTGCCTCTGTGCCTCAGGATGAAGATTGTTGCATCAGTTACTAGTATGAGTTACAGGAGACAGAATACCACTAGCATTCTGGGATAAAGTAACAGCTGATCTCACAGTTTGGAAGACTTAAATACTAATTGAACCTCATTTCTATCTCCTGCCTTGAGCGAAGCACAGACTCCCCACATAAGAACATAAAAAGAACCCTGCTGGATCAGGCCCAATTAATCCAGCATTCTGTTTCACATCATGGCCAACTAGATGCACTTGAGCATGCATTCCCATTGCCCTTCCTAGCAGTCAATATTTAAGGCATACTACCTACAGTTCTAGAGACAGGCAGTACTGAAGAGCCATCAAAATGAGTAGCCACTGATAGCCTGACTTGGCCTAACAAAAAAGAGAAGTAAGTAAAAGTAATTAACAGTTTATATTTGCAAAGTTGGATCTTAATTTAGGTGGTACAAAGAAAAACAAGTAGCTAAGCTAAACTGAGGATAATTGAGCCCTCAAAACAGGAAGTTGAAATTTTAGCCAATAGAAATGTGATATCTATAGCAAATTTATCTGTTATTTCCCATGTCAAGCATTAGAGTCATAGAGTTGGTAGGCCCTTTATGTTACCAAGTCCAGCTCTTGCTCAGAAGAGGAATTTAAATTATTCTCCTTATTGGGTGGCATTAGGAAATTTCTTCTGTTTCTATCAGATTACATGTGGTTATTTTTAGGAGTACCTTCTTGATCTCTGATTAGCTCACTACTGCTTTCCACTAGCTGGGTTCATACATTACCCTCATAACCTAGTTATTTGGCTTTGCCTTAGTGCTGTGTAAATCCAACTATTGTGATTTGTAAATCTATGGTTTAAGGTTCAGAATTACTTGTAGTTTCAGCCAATTCAGATTTCTTTTTATGTAATGTGCTAAATCAGCCATTGAAGCCACCATCTGTCATGAAATATGTTAGCTTAATCCAAGACCAGCAAACATAGGGCCTTTTGGTTATCGCTGAGCTTTAATTCTGGGGTCCTTAGCAAAAACTGGAGAGTCACACAGATTTTGTGCTCTGGCTTAACCAAAGAAAAGTAACAAATATGAAAACTAGATGCAAAATCCTTTGCCTGGGTAATGTGTGTGCATATTACTATATACAGAAATATTTTAAATATAGCGAGATAGAATAAAATAACCACATCACACTTTCTAACATGCTTTGCTTTTTAAGCCTGATTGTTTCAGACCAGTTGTGACTCTTGTGAATTTTGCTTCTTCCCAAAGTGAGCTTCTTTGCTGTTCTAGGTCTTGAAGTATGAAATGGCATCCCATGTTCTTATTTAGTCTGGGGTGCTGTCGTCAGTAGTTGTGACAAGAGAAACTACTTTTGCAGAAATGGCCACTTGGATGTCTTTAAAAGCACACAAATTAGTTTCATGTTTATGAATGACTTTATTAGGAACACAAGCAAATCAGCCCCTTGGGTTAATAGGATTTTCGAATATTTTGCTGTCAGATCTGCGATGTTCAAATCCCAATGAAGAAAAATCTCTTGAAACCTGAGTCAGGATACATGCATCTTCAGAGCATTGCTGAAACTAAAAAGCCCGTACATTCCAAATCTACTTTTGCCCTCCCTTCTAACCCCCCTTCTCCTCAGCCAGTTCTTGGTTCTCATGTTGGTATGGCCTTGGACATTCCTGGCCCCAGATAACAGTCCATCTGCGTTAACGGCTTCACCTTCCTTGTTCCCCCCGCCCAGTGGAAAATGGCAGAAACGAAGCAAGCAACTAATGAGCTGACAGATTGATTGCTGGAGGTTCTGACATTTGCATTTTCATTTTCATTTATTGATAATATGTTAAAGAAATTATTTCAGAAAGACAAGAAATGATTAATGTCAGAAATGAATATCAAATAATTATAGGTTTTGAGATTCACAATAAAAAGTATAATTAAAATATATAATTGTTATGGATTTAAGAATGGCCATGTGTACACTGGGTCATTGAGGAATTTTAGAACTGTATTGACTTACAGGTGTTATTATGCTTTCAGGTTTACAAGTCCTTCAGAAAAATCACTGAACTGCACATTTCAACCATTTTGCTGTTATACATTTGTGGCTGATTTCTTCTTTATTGTGGCCAGAGGTTTCTACCTAACAGCATTTTGACTTGTAAATCATTATAAGATTGCAGAGATTAGAACACCATTTTATTAACTTAAAAAAAAAAATTCTTGGAGTTGCATAAAACAGAATAGACCTTTTGTTTCTAATTTGAAAAAAAGTCAGAAACAACAGTGAACATCTGAACCTCTACTTGAAAAAATCTTTTTTGCTAGAAAGGCAGAAAAGCTATAAAGAAAACAAGCAGGAGATTTTATAATATTAACAGCAATTAGACATGGAGGGCTTTTCTTTTGCTGGGAGTCTTCAGCAGAAGCTGGGGGATCACTTCTTGAGAAGAATCTTCCACTCTGGATTTGTGTATTGAGCAGAGGACTGAACTACATCATCTCCCAACTCTGAGATTCCACGTTCACCTTTTATTACATCCCCACCCCTCTGTAGAAAAATGCTAAAATTAGGATTTTATACATTTAGAATACTTATACCCCATTTTATATACATGAAAAACATTGCAAGTAGCTTGCAGAATATTGTCAGAATAAAATTACTGTAAAATCTAAAATCCTTGGAAGCAAGGAGGTGGGTTTGAACAGCTTGAAACTGCACTTTGCGTATCTGAAGACCTTGTCAGTTATTCTGTTGAGCTTCTCATGTTGGTTGTCCTGTTATGCATCTCATCCTGTCCAGGATCTTTGCTTCAGTACATGGACGCTTCATCATATGGACCCAAATGAGATGAATGCATTCTTGAGCTGGAGGGAGGGATTCTCCCATGGTAAGGGAAGAACTGCTTGTACAAGAGTTTCAGATGTCTTCTGAATTTCACTCCAACAAAGACATAGAGAATTGGGTTGATGCAGCAGTGACAGTAGGCTATTTTGCGGCTGATGTCAAAAGCAAAGAAGATATGATTGCGAGTTTGACATTCTGGCTCGATGACATGCTGAATAGAAAAAACGTACACAAACTTAAGTACATTGTAAGGGGCCCAACTCAGGAAAAAGACCACCACAATGGCAAATATGAGTCTCACAGTTCTGTGCCTCCTTTGAGACCTTGATCTAAGCAGAATCTTAAGCATCCCAATATAACAAGCTACAATAATAAGAAAAGATAGGAGGAAAAATGTTACTTGCAGGCTCATCTCTACCAGTTTCCATATGAATGATTCTTGGTAATCACAGTGCTGTCTGCCATAAGGATCATTTATGACTTGGATAAAAATTGTCTCAGGTACTGTGACCATTACACTGCTGCCCCAAATGGCTATGCTCATCAGAATGCCGCATTTTTTTGTCTGTGTTCTCATTGTTGATAAGGGATCAACCACAGCCAGGTACCGCAGGATAGTCATGATGGTGAGAAAGATGACACCACCATAGTAGCTGATAGAAAATATGGCACTCACAGCCTTGCAGAGAAAGCCACCAAAAATCCATCCATAGTAATGATATCCAATCCAGAAAGGCAGAGTGCATGAGAAGGTCAGGTCAGTGATGCAAAGATTCAGGATGAAGAGGTTTGTTAAGGACTTGAGATTTTCATATTTTATTACAATCCACAAGACAAGGCTATTTCCTAGCAGGCTGAAGAAGAAGATCAGAGAATAAAGGATGCAAGTAAATGTAGCGCTGAATTTGAAGGTCTCCTCCATCTCACAATAGTTAGTTTCCATTGGGGTATAATCAAAAAAAGTTGAATTTGGAATCCATTCAGAATATTCTATTAAGTCAGTCATTTGGATTTGTTGCAGGTTTCCTCACTTCTGCAACTGTGAAGAGTGTTTCTGAAACCAACAGGTTAAAAATGCTGGTAATAGCAGAACAAGGAAAAGAAAAAGGAAGTTACTGCTGTCTACCTATGGTACTATGCAAAGATTTTAGGCAGGTGTGAAAAAA